CGATTTGGGCTTCCCCGGTATACCGATCGGGTAACTTGCTTACCCTCCCACTATGACGAGGTGCCATAGGAGTTTGATCAGGCACTGTGGTCTTTTCTCTGAGTGGTTCGACAACTCTTGTCAGTTGTGGTCCAATCTCATCGGAAAGTAACTCTTCTAATACTATCTTACTTCTGGTCTATCATATAGTCATGCTCCATAAAAGTGGCATTTGTCAATACAAACACCTTTTGATCTGCTTGACTATAAAACAGTCCTCCTCTTGTCCCTTGTGGGTATCCCATGAAAATGCATACTTCTAACCTTGGTTCCAATTTCCCGGTCTTTTGCCTCAGCACGTGTGCTGGACACCCCCATATGCGAATGTCTCTTAAACTAGGTTTTTGACAATCCGCAACTCTAGGGGTGTCTTAGGTACATACTTAGATGGAACTAGATTTAGAATATACATAGCAGTTTTTAGGGCATAACCCCAAAAAGAAGTAGGCAGTGAAGAATAACTCAACATTGATCTTATCATGTCGAGCAAAGTCCGATTTCTCCTTTCAGCTACACCATTATGCTGTGGTGTACCAGGTGCAGTCAATTGGGATACTACACCTTCTTCAATCAAGAAATCCTGGAACTCTTAGTCCAGGTACTCACCTCCTCGATTTGATCGAAGTGTCTTGATTGGTTTACCTAATTGTTTTTCAACTTCTGCTCGGAATTCTCTAAACTTTCTAAAAGTTTCAGATTTCCGTTGCATCAGGTAAACATAACCGTATCCCGAATAGTCGTCAATAAAGGTGACGTAATATTCGTAACCTCCTCTAGCTTGGACGTTTAACGGTCTACATACATCTGAATGTATCAGCTGAATGGGTTCTGTAGCTCTTTCTCTTTTTGTTGTAAAAGGCCTCTAGGTCATTTTACCTTCCAGACAAGATTCACAGACCGGAAGCTCGCCAACTGTTAGCTCGTGCAAAGGACCATCCTTTACCAGTCTTTCAATCCTATTTAGGTTAATATGACCAAGTCTAAGATGCCACATATATGTGTTATTTTCGTGAGAAATCTTTTGCTTTTTATTCTTAGGTTCGGCAACTCTGAACATTTCAGTATTAAGCAGTGAGTTAGGTATTGGCTCTATA